GGGGGGGGGGGGCGGCGACGTCCCAGGGCCTCCAGACACGCCTGGCCTCGGGGCGCTCCTCTGTGGGCCCCCGCAAGTTTTCCTAACACGTAGTTACTGAGCCGTTGGCGTGCCCCCGAATACGGTGGTAAGCAAGACAGGCACGTTCTAGGCGCTCAAAGAATTTCACATTCCAGGGGAGTGAGATGGGCACGTTTTTTCAAAGGCAATAGATGACTTCCCTTTCTAAAAAACAAGCCGGTAATGGGCTAGGTAGTGGCTGACGGAGGGACTTTTTAAAATAAGATGAAGTCCGAGAAAGTGAAATTTGAAGCGGAAATTTGGTGAACGGCCTAACCGTCCGGATAGCCAGGGGGTTCCGGCAAGAGAGAAGCAAGCGTGACGGTCCTAACTTGGAAATCCCGACATCAAAAGCCACTCTTTGACTTTTGTAGGGAAGAGGAGAATGTGGAAAAGACAAGCTAGAGTAAGCCCTAGAAAATGAAAATTCAAGGTGTCATAGCGTTTGGTAGAACCCAATTTGGCGGAAGTGTCTTAATCTGAGGTCACCGGTGCTTCAGAAAGGAAACAGTCTGGGCTCTTAACCAGGGCGATGTGTCTGCAGACGCCCTCAGAAAGACAGGACTTCCTTAATTGCACGCAAAATTGTGTTTAAGGGCATTTTCCTGGGTTGTGTGGGTCCGTGACTTTCAGCGGCCTGCCTGGACTCCCCAGACCGAACCCGAATTTGGGCCTGGCCCAGTGGTGGGCTGGGAGGAAGACTAGGACGCAGTTTCCTCCACCCCTGAAACGAAGGAGACCAAAGCCAAGACAGAGAAGCTTTAATACCGAGAGGTGGGACTAGCTTCAGGGCGGGCGACCCGGTCAACTCCGACAGCAGAAAAAACGCACGTCGTTCAGGGCGGTGTCGTCTCGGAGGCCCCGCGGCCGCTCGACCTTGGTCTGCAAACCGCACACGCCTTTGGGGCAGGCCTTACTCCATTCTCCAAAGTCGCCCCAGGCCAGGCCGGGCCCCTCCAGCTCCGTGCCGTCGGAGCAGCGGAAGCGCACGTTGTTGGCCGCCGTGTTGTCCCCGGGGGCCATGGGTGCCTCCACGCGAAGCGAGAAAGCCACGAGGAAGCCACCGCCGGGACACCACTGTGGCTCACTCCACGCGCCCCACCTACGAGGGCGGGGGAGAAGCGATGCTTCCGCGGTTGCCCCGCCCCCTTCCCAGCCCAGCCCCGGGGACGGGGGACTTGTCGCCAGTTGCTACGCGCCCCGGGGTGCGTTGGGTGTGGTCACCTGACCAGGGAGGTCTTCCACCCAGTCCTCAGGTCGACACTGCCCCACAGCCCCGGGGGGACATTCTAGCCCGGAGGGTGTGTGTGTGTGTAACGCAGGGGAAGGGCGTATCCCCATTCTCGGGGGCCCTTGGCCCGCGTCCCGCACCTGCCGGACTGGGACTCCACCACCTGCGTGTTGCGCTCCGCGTTCCCGCGTGAGCAGTGCAGTCGGATCCCGTTCAAAGCAGTGTCGTCGCCAGGAATGCCTTGGGGGGGCTCCACCTGGGTGGGGAGGAGAAGAAGGGTAAGGACCTGTTAAAAGACTGCCATCCTCTGTTCCCCAGCAGCGGGTGGGGAGGTGAGGGGATGTGCATCTTCCCCCTCCTCAGAGATCTCAGCCTGAATCCCCACCTTGAGCGAGAACCCGCTGGTGAAGAATCCATCGGGACACATCTCAGGCCAGGCCCAGTCGCCCCAGGGTCCCCCGTTGGTCACCTCGATGACCGACGTGTGGCCGCTCAGGTGGTCGGCTGTTGCATGTCTGTAGCAGGTGGCCCACAGCAGCAGCAGCAGCAGCAGCTTGGCTGAGGCACCCTTGTCCATCCTGCAGCCTCTGAGAGCCCGGCTGGGCCCCTTATGCAGATTTATACCACCTCTGCCCCTGTGAAGTCTCCGGTTACGGAAGGGCCTCCCGGATTAAGTGACACCCGAAACTAATCTGCTCCCAGAACCCTGCAGACTCCACTCTCTGCTCTGGGAGACGGAGGCTCCCCTCTCCGGAGGAGGAGGGGCAGAGAGAGCGGACCAGCTGAGTTAACCACCACCTACAGAGCATCTACTATAGGCCACGAATTGTGGTCAGCGTTTTGCAGGCGTGTGTTAATCCTTACAACCCTTTTAAGGAGGTGGGAATGACCCTTCCTATTCACAGATGAGCAAAATGGGGTTTGGAAATGACAAGCAACTTGCCTAAGGTCACAGTCAGCAAGCTGGGGAACATTCCAACACTGGGAAGCGGGGAGCCCATGTCTAGGGTTGGAAGCAATGACTCAAATGCTGGGTGGGGGTTCTCCTGACCTCCAGGATTTGGGGGAGCATTCGAGGGAGAGATAGGGCAAGAATCCATGAACTGTGGTAGCTAGAAAGGATCTTGTTAGTGATTGGGGCCCAGACTCCCAGAGAATCTGGGGTCCCCCTTCCCCTGAGAAGAAAATACACAGACAGGAACAATTCCAAGAACTTTTACGGACAGGGGATTGAGAGCCCCTAAGAACGGGGGGGCTGTTTCTTCCCTTGCTTCCTGTGTCCTTTCCCTGAATGTTGTCCCCGCCATGACCACTAGGCGGACTCCTAACTTGGGGGGAAAAAATGGCTCTGATTTGTCATGAGGTCACCACCCAATGTGCCTGTCCTTCACGCTTTCCTGTGTTTATTCAATATATATTTATATACCAATAATGTGGTTTTGGCCCAGGCAATATTCTCAGTGCTGCAAATAGAACAGCAGCCAAGAAAATCAAGGAAACAGATGATAAATTTTCCAATGGATCTTGAGCTCTGTGAAGGCACTTTTGTCTTTTTGAGGCCTACTACAGGGCCTGGATGTGGAAATAGTTCACAAGGTTTGTTTTGAAGAATAAGGGGCAGGGGGTGGGTGTGGTGTGATGTGGTGCGTGCTTGGCTGGCTCAGTCTGTAGAGTGCGACTCTTGATCTTGGGGTCATGAGTTCAAGTCCCATGTTGGGCATAGAGATTACTTTTTAAAAACTCACACACAGGGGCGCCTGGGTGGCGCAGTCGGTTAAGCGTCCG